CGTACGTACCAAAATCTTTCTTTGGTTCACCAATTCTAAAATTGTTTCTATGTACTTATGTATTTGTTTAAAATATTAACAGTCAATTCTTTTTCGCTTTAACATCCTTTAAAGTTTCTCCAAATCTTACAAAAATGTAGTGCAACGACATTGACTTTTAATTCTTTCCGCCCAAGTGCCATTGCACAACGATTTCTAATATTGAATTCGGCGCCAAAGCACACAACAGAGTGCCAACCACAAAGCGAATTCGAAAACTATAGCAACTAAAGTGCCTTCACTAGAAAAAAAAAATCTGCACTTTTTCCCATCAAATACTCACACACTACCACGAATATTTCAAATTTTTTTGACTAACGCTCTGAACAATGATATCCTTGAAGCATCAACAGCAGCAGAGAGACGCTGGCAGCAGCACCACATCAACCAGTCAAAGCGCACAATCTCATAGCAAATCAAAAAAAAAAAATAAAAATAAGGCCTTTGTGTTTGCTCAGCGCTGCTAAGCTATGTGATGCGCCTCAAAGGCAACCGCTGCTACTTTTTTCACACTCACATCAAAGCGATTTGCCTGTACGCCGCAGCGTTGGCTTCGTCAACCGGTTCCTTTTGGCTTAATATTTTCGGCAGCAGCGGCGCCAGCCAGCATCTGCATTTCATGCAAAGTCTGTTTGTTAGTAGTTCGCCTGCCTCACCGCTTGACTGCCTAAATGTATGCTACTCTATGGCACAATCGCTCTGCAAATCGCATGTCTGCCTGCTGCTTATCGCTGCTTCTGCGGCATTTGCTTTACTGCGTGGCATAACAAACGAATGCAACGCAACGATTGTGCGTTTTGCTGTGTTTGTGGTGTGAATCCTTTGAATGGCGAGTGAGTGCTTGAGTGGCAGCAGGGAAATTTCGGTGTTGCATTGTTCGTAAATTCGCTATTCTTAGCTTTGGCTTTTGAGATATTTTTTCCGTTTGTACCTCCTTTTTTTCTTTAAGTGCTTTGTGCGTTTAGCCGTATCGCTTGTTGGTTAGCAGCCTCTCTTGATAATACTTGTCTTATGCGCTTTGAAGTTGGAAAATTGATCTTCTAAAAAGGGAAAAAGAAGTGAGTAAAAAAGACGGCCAAATTCGATACTGGGAATCGAAACTTAAATCGGCTGTTTTTTTTTTTTGGTAAAAAGTTCGCATATCGCAACGTTCGGTATTTAAATTATTCGATCGTTTTAAATTGTTGGCAATTCTAATATTTTTATTTTATGCGATGGAATTGCAGCAAATAAATATATATGTACATATTAGGGGTATTCTCTGAGTCTTGCAAAGCCCTTGCACGGTGCACGGATTGCACGGTTTGCAAAGCTGTCCCATACGAAAACCGGTTTTTACCGTGCAATCCGTGCAATCTGTGCACCATGCAAGGGCTTTGCAAGACTCAGAGAATACCCCTATTGTGTATAGATGCGAAACAGGAAACTAGATCGCTTGGATAACAATATGGACATAAGGATTATTGCTGTAGTTAGGACGACTTAAAGTGGACGTTTCGGCTAAGCAGTTGTAGTAATGATATTTTGGCATACATAGATATGTACGTACGATGGGTATTTACGTTGGCAATGCATTTCGGAAGGTACCATACTTTCACCCGGAGGCAAAGTTGCGCCAGGACGAGGCATATCCCCCTGCGATGGTTACAACCATTCGATTTTATAGTCGTTTCGATTGCTTCATAGAACATTTGTGGCGTCTGTTGTTGACTCGTAATTTTTTTTCAGTGAATCACGAATTGAAGTGACTCAGTAATGCTAGGCACTTTCATTATTTAGATAAAAATGCATTCAATTCCGCTAGGCTGTCAACGAATATATAACTTCCCTTGACTTACTATTTTGTATAAGACAAGCGGCCTTCTTTATGGCGAAGGTCGTTATAACTTTTACAAAAATCGTAATAAATGGCTCTGAACCAGGCAGTCTGATAGCTAATAAGCTACAAGTTTTACGATGAATTCCTAAATTTTTTTTGACTAATAAGACCAGTAAGAAAACCCCATTGTAAACAGTGTCGATGTGAAAATTCGAAAAACTTAAATCAGTAAGGCAAATTTTAAATCAAGCAGCATGTACATGCATATATATGTACACATGTATATGAATACTCTCTTTGAGAACATGTGTCTCATGTGTGTTATGAATCTTACACGGTACATGTATTTATTGTATACCCATATGACACCCCTTACCACTTTCATACTTACCAGTTTACGGTTTTTATTATATTATTTCTTGGATAATACTCACTCCATAAAATGCATACATAGGTACGTTTGTAGATTAGGGTGGTCGCAAAAAAAGAATAAAGTCGGAATTTTAATGCTCCTACCCCCTAGGATTGTTGTTTAGAGGTTGCTCAAAGCGCTCAAAGTTTTCCATGTTATCCATGTATTTTATGTATATGGGAAAAAAAATTTTTCATAGAAATGCTATATTCTTCTTTCGGAAAACTTTGTTTCTCTTCATGAGACTTTCAATACCCAATTGTTTATTTAACCAGATTTAATATAGGCTATGTTTTAAAGCAGTCCTAAAACCCCAAATAGTTCAATCGCTAGTAATAAAATATGGCAAAATAAAAAATTGGGTATTATTATTGGAGAGAAACAAAATTTTCTGATCGTAAAATATTGATTTTTAAGAATTCTATTCCATTTCTACAATAGTTGTTTTTTCCCCATATAAAATACATGGAAAACTTTGAGCGCTTTGAGTGGCCTCTAACTATTATTTTTATTTCCCAATCCTAGGGGTGAGAGCATTAAAATACCGACGTTATTTTTTAACATGCATTTGTGGACCACTCTAATGTAGATACATACCTTCTCCTGCTCCTTCTCTAAGCACTATCCCAGGCGGTTATTAGTTGTATGTGTTAATTAATGACATTAACATCGCGTCTATTATTAGTATTATGTTGGGGAATTATAATTGCATTTCGGATTTTTTTTTTTTGATTTTTTCGGATCATTTCATTCGTAACCAACAGCTGCCCGACATGCTTGTAACATTGTGGTATTTATGAAACACACGCACATACTTTAAGTTGTCTGGCCTTAGCCTGGCGGGGAATTTAGCTATGTATTTAGAAAATGGATGCCACGAGCACAGTTGATAACCCCATACCAATCATGCATAAATGTATGTACATATAAAATCGGGCCTATACAATAAAGTTTGTTTCCTTAAATTAGTCAGAATATTAATTTTCTTCTTACCACCAATTTGTACGGTGTCAAGAATTTAAATAGACCAGAGACATTTTCGTAGGTTTTAACTATTTTTTTTGTTTAAAAAATGTTTAATGTTTTTTAATGAAAATATATGTAGCTTGCTATCTCAAAAAATTGTAAAACAAATTTACAATCTTTGTAGAACCTTCATGAAAATTCGACGAACTTTAAAAAATGTTCAATAAAACTTAAAACTTGTTAACCGAATTTTTTTGTGTATACAGTTTTGAAGCCAATTAAGTTTTGGTATGATACAGTGCAAGTTTGAAGTAGCTGGGAACTACCGTTGATTTTTGACCATTTTTTATTTGCGCAACATAAGCAACACCTCTCACAAGTTTGTATACTAAGAATGTTTCTAAGAATTCGAATTAAAAATTTCAAAATTTTGACTCATATTATTTGGTTGGTCACGGTTAAGATTAAAATTATGATTAGGATTAAGATCGAGATAAAGATTAAAATTATGCCGAAAAGTACTCATATAATTCGCGAAGGTGTTTTTTGTTATTGTCCTCAGATCTACACCCTTCTTTCGTTTTTCAAATCTGAGGTGTCAGATTAAAGTGCTTGGTCTGTAGAGAGAAGCATTTAATTCAAACTATTTAATAAGCTAAGTTTATCATTATAATATGTGTATCGAGCGAAATGTTTTTGAAAAGGTTTTATTTCTTAACTGCATTAAGGAGGGTTGCCACCTGTTTAAAAAATCTAAATAAATTAAAACCGAGGCAATAAGATTGTTGAGATGTATACATATCACAATTTGGGTGTCAGACAGAATTAATTTAAAAGTTTTACTTTCGAAATATTTTGAAGAGCGTTGCCACCTGTAGAATTAAAATAAATTATGCACAGTTATATGAAATATTAAAATAATAGTGGTAAGAGCTCTTTAGTTTGAACATCTAGAATATTTTCGATGAATCTGTAGAGAGTTGCCACTGGTTTAAAAAGTTAAAATCAAATTAAATAAAAATATGGGTATCAATCGCAATGGGAGTGGAAAGGCTTTAACTTCTGCACTATATTGAGAAAGGTTGCCACGTATTTGAAAAATCAAATTAAACTTCATTTATTAATGAATTGAAATTTTTTTGCACTAAGCCTGCCTCTTGGTCCTTCGTATTCTGATTTGGCCTACTATGACTTTTACATGTCTCTTTCAGGCCTAAAAAAGCATTGAGTATGGATTTTATAAAAACGCAGCTATTAACTGTTTTCGCCTTGATAACATACAGGCCGATTCTGAACAGAAACTCACCGGGAGTTTTTCTCATCAGAAATCAAAACTCAGAATCAGAATCAGAAAACTTTTTAAAAATGTCTAGAAAACATTCAATAAAAATCACAAACAAACCGCCTATTTCTTCCTTTAAATAATAAAAATCAATAATTCTAAAGTTATGCGAAAATAATCCTATACAACAGGAGCTAATTCCGATTAAAATTTCGACTATTTATTCCTTACTTTTGATTTAAAGATTAAAAAATGCCTTTTAGCTGTTCTAGATTAATCTGGAGCGATGTAATGCTGGCAGATAGACCAGGTTAAATTAGTAAATTTCTTTGACCTCTTTGCTATTTTCGTTTCCTACTCGCAAAAGAGATTTGTCGAGCGATATCTGCGAAATAATTCTTTGCAGAGTTTAGAATTTTTAATGCATAAAAAAATTAAAATGATTTACTACAACAAATTTCTACATCCTTTTGCTTTTACAGAGCCGCACAAAAACTTGCACAAACACACAATTCCAGCAAAAGTCGCACCGCCGAACTGCCAAATGCCAGCGCACGAAATGGTGGATTTTGTGGAGCGCTACAGCGAGCGCCACCACCCATGCCACCAGGGCTGGCGCGAAGGCTTGCGAACAAGGAAAACTACGGCATCGGCAAGGTGAGTAGAACAAAATTATATTTTACAATACACAACCACTCTCTAACGAGAAAAGTTGGTGGCTCATGTATGCTATGTAAATGGATATGTTTTATGTATGTATATAAAGTACCAACTCGTATAGAATTACAAAGTTAAGTATTGCATGACGTGTGCCATAAAAACGCGATCCAATTACCGTCTACAATTTACCGCTAATAATCTTGGTCTGTCAACAAAATTGCTAGACATTTTAAGCGATTGTCCGGGCAGTGGATTTCCCTTTGCCCGGAGTCGAGCATAAATCTAATTTAAATTGGAATCCGCAGCAATTAAGATCGCAATCAGCGCGCTACTACTCCATGCACTTGACCAGCTGCAAATCATAAGTGAAATGAATAAAGTACTTCCCTTTTAAGTAGTTGTGCGCATTAGTCATATGCGGTAAATTAACAACCGCAACTGTAGGTTGCACACGTGATTTACTTTGCCGTTTTTTTTTTTTGGTTATTCTACGTAAAAGAAAAAAGAAATATTTGTTTCCCTACTCCCACTTTTACAGGTTAAGGTAATGTTGCGTGTCTCGGACACAA